CTCCAGAGCAGAAGATGGCGGTACTGCGACCAAAGCCAACCACCAGTAGTAAACCAGAAGAAGAAGAAGCGAAGAGAAAAAAATCAGTTGTTGTGGAGAATTGTGTGGGTATGGCGAGTGGGAAAGAACAGGAGTTGGAAGACGCGCCAGCAGCACTTTATAGGTCTGCTGTATGGGACCACTTTGCATTTAGAGTGACCTACGATGACGGCGGAAAGAAAGCTGTGGATAAAAGTGCAACAGTGTGCAAGCATTGTGCAACATGTGTTGTACTATACAAGATATAGTAGATTTTCCTAACAATCAACATATACCGAACCGAAAACCGTGACCACGAAACCGTGAACCGAACCGAACCGTGGATTGTGTGAACCGTTCCACCCCTAGCAGGCATGCAGATCTAATCCTTCCACTTCATTGACTACTCAATAGCATAGAGTAAATGAAAGCATGTTTCTTTGGGATCTAAAACAGAATGGTACAACATATGGATAATGCAGAATAAAAAGGATAAAAAATAAGAAGGATGTAAAGTTGGGCATACACTGTACAATATATTCAGTCATTAAGCTACAGCTCAAACTGTACGACGAAACCGCAGGGTTTAAAAGTTCACAGCTCATTATGTTTGTTCTTGTACTGCACCACTAACCTGACTCCGCAAGATGGATTTGCTGGATTTGCTCCGCATCTAGAAACCTTCCGCTGAAGTAATTTTGGGAAGGGGCGAAAATACTGGTTAGTTGATTGGCCTATGTTGGTGATAGATGGGCCAAATAAACCAATCAGATCAACGAAGCATATGACGTACTAACAGAGCGACGACGAAATACTGTGTAATTCCGATAAAACTTGCACAATAGCCACGCTAACGCTAGTTTCATCGGCTGAAGCCACCATCTTCTTTAGACTGAACTGTCGCGCTTCTCGTTGCGTCACACCTCAACCCGCCTCAAAGCCAACGCTGATTGGATGTTCGTTTGGTGAACGGCTCCAAATTTTCTTTAATGGTAAGTAGCCAGACTGATCTGTGAGTGAAACCTTGAAAGCTCGTGAGATCAGGATGGTCTCACGAGGCTACTGCACGACCAGACGCTCCAAAAACCACATGTCAAACTCAGCGCCGAGAGATGCTGCTTGGTCGGACTTGTCAATCTGGAACAAGAAGAAGAAGAAGAACTCCCTTGTAAGCACATTAGCAGTGCTTGAGGTCCTGGTAAATCGGCTCGTAGCTCTGCTTCAACAGCAGGATTTGCCCACCACGGCCGAATTAATTTTAAACATGTTGGATTTTCTCCGGACCTTACGATTCCCGATCGGGAGGTGGTGGTTACCCAATGTATACTACATGACGTAGGATGCACAAGGAGGCTGAAACTCTGTGTAATCCACTAAATTCTGCCTGGGCTTAAGGATGATCTAGTAATGTTTAATGTCCTCGGGTCTCATTTATCAACGATTACGTGGGATCTTCACTAAAAGCATATGTACGCCCAAAAGCCAACAGTGGAATTTGTAAAAAGGTGATTTACAAGCATAAAAAACTATTTATTTGATTAATCCCAACTGTGCAAAGCACAGCATGAATGTCATTGTGTATTAAAATGAGTCAGCAGAACAATGTTATTTAAGACTTACCAATGGCAACCGTGGGGAAGAAAGTGAAAACAGTGCAACAGAGTTTGAAATAGAGGTGGAGAATCAGATAAATATGTTTGGTTGCCATAGTAGAAGGGTGATAAATAAAAGGCAGCATTATAAATGGCAACGGAGTCAGATATGGTCTGATTATATTTACAATGTTATCCAAGATGGCAGGCAGAATTATGTTTTGTGTTGGCTGTGATATCTCAGCTTTATGGGTACATTTACAGGATTATTTGGTTCCCTAAAGTTCCTTTAGGCAGAGAGTTAATTATTGATTGTAAAGAATCAAAGTATAATGAATCAATAAACAAAAAAATAACTTAAAGCGATTCAACAGAGCTTGGCAACCCCTTCAGCAATATATTAATAACTCTTTTTGGAGAGAATTTGTTTTGATTCTCTGTGTACAGGATTCCCGTGGGTCCTTAAAAAGTCTTAAAAGGCATTGAATTCTTCAAAATAAAATTAAGGCCTTAATTGGTATTAAAATGAGAATGTTCTTGTTTATTTATGTCACTTTCGTTTGGTTTTGATTTTGTATTGTCTTTGTTTTTTGTTGATGTGTATTGTTAAATGTCAATTTTCATGTATGAATCCTCAATAAAAAACTGTTTTAACACATAGTTAACTGAAATATAGAGACTGTAAAATATGCCTTTAGCTGACAGAGCAACCCCAATTAGAGTAGTAGTTATACCAAAATTGTAAAAAGAAATGTATAAACAATTTGTATTTAAGTAAAAAAAAAACATTTTCTTCTGTTAAAAGGCTCTATCCAGAACTCATTAATTGAAAAAGATTTGGTTTCACCTGGTTTCATTTAATAAAAATCTGCTTTAAGGAAAACTTTGGCTATCTGATTATTAATCAAAAAGATAATCAAGAAAAAATAATCGTTATTCTTTAAACTGCGACTTGAAGCCACATCCAGGTATAGAAATATATGTTTGTTTATGAACCATGTAATGCTGGTTATCCTTATTTAATAGTGTTTCTTTAGCAGTGTAGATCCCTGCTTTTCCTTCTGCATGTGATGAACAGGGATGGCCTGGGTCCAGCGGGTCAGTCTCCCCACTACTTGACCCAGTTTAGCTCAGTTTGTTCGGCTGATGAACCAGTCATCATCCTGAGCCAGAGGACTCTGGTAATCCCTGAAAATGTTTTCCCTCCTAATTCTCCCATTTTTAAAGTCCTTCAACAGAGCATCAGCCTACCAACCGTCGGGGAATGGAATGTGATGTGGAGAAAACATCAGAAACTGGGCTCACTTTGAAGAAGGATTTGATCTGCTTAGAGGCCTTTGTATTCATTTGATTGGTCCTCATGTTTATGTAAAGTTCCCCAGTACAAGCATGAATTACACTGACAGTGGATGATTGATGACATTGATTTATTATTAATGTTTTATATAAAGTTAAAATAAACCTGTGAGAGAACTTAATCGGGCATTCATGATATTTTCAATTATTGTACTCAGCTACGGCTCAATCTGTACGATGAAACCGCAGGGTTTAAAAGTTCACAGCTCACGACGTTTGTTCTCACACTGTATGATCTGACGCTCTGATGCGTTCTAGCCGCTAACACTGCACGTCCAAAAACCATACGCCTAGAGAGAGCGCTGGTCGGACTCTTCAATCTGGAAGAAGAACTCCCTTGTTTTCACATGCGCAGTGCTCAAGGTTTAGTTTAGTTTTATTAGGATCCCCATTAGCTGCCAAATAAATGGCCACTAATCTTTCTGGGGTCCTCACATAAAGAAATTACATTACATTATAGACAAACCAGTGCTCAATGTTCTGGTAAATCAGTTCGTAGCTCTGCTTCAACAGCAGGATTTTCCCACAAACACCGTATAACGGCTGACTGAATTTCAAACAGCCAAAAAGCAGCAGTCATTGGTCCTTTTCTTTACCTTTCCGGCTGTCCGTGTGGTCGTCGTTCTTGATTCGGTGCCATTTTTAAGAACTAAGGAACAGCCACAATGGACAACTACGACAAAGGGTTACTCAGTCTTTTTTGCCAACCTAATTAACAGAACCTGTTCCTCTTCGATATCTAGCAACTCTAGATCCGTCTCCGTGACCGTGATATCTTGCAGACGTGCCATTGTTGTTTTGGAAAATAAACACTCCCGCCGGCACCGCCGAAGTTTCCGAATAGGCTCCCCCTAGTGCTTTGGCAGGAAACTGCAGTGCGTCCCTAGAAATTTACAGAGCGACGGTGCAGAAGCATACCAGCAAAACTGGTCTGCGACCAGACCCAAGCAACATTTGATGTGTGCGGTTCCAGAAGTATAATCTGCCTTTTCTTCTTCCAGATTGTCGAGTCTGATTAGCACAATCTCTCGGCGATGATCGCATGAGTCGGGCTGCACAGTGCGAGAACATGCATAATGAGCTGTGAACTTTTAAACCCTGCGGTTTCGTCGTACAGTTTGAGCTGTAGATTGAAAATATCGCACAGTGTATGCCCGGCTTTAGTGATAGCTAAAGTGAAATGCTAAAGATAGCTTAACATGTCTGTGCAGTTTTTGTTTGGAAAAATGACTGGAATCCTGTTAAACTGCAGAGCTGTGTAACACTGAATGCTCTCTTTCACACACAGTGTGACGTTTCCTCTAGTATGCATTTTTAATAATGGGACCGAAAGGTGTCTGAAGGCTCTTATATAGTTGGAATATTTAAATAATTCAACATTTTATGAAAGATAAAGCCAAACTATAGTTTTTTTTTTCTTCTTAAACATTATCTGTTGATCTTTTTGAAAGAAATGAATGAGCAGCAGAGTTGGAGATGTTTTTCTAACAGTAGTTCAGGCCAAGCCCAGGATGTTTCTGGAGGCTGATCCATGGACTAGGCTCTGGCTTAGGTGTCTTTATTGCACTGATAAGTGATGAACCTCTGATATCATCACCACGGTAACCTATTTCTAAAACTGTTGTTGATGATTAGGGGAAATCACAAACATTTCCCAGAGCCTCTCTTCTCATACAGGAAGCAGATGTTTGAAATACCTAAAAATGCTCCTCCGTTACGCGTCTTTCTGTTCATCCGCTCTTCACTTTCGTGTTTACTGCTCGCAGTCTCTGGGTGTGACATCCAGGTTTCCATTGAAGGCTGACAGGTGTGTTCATGTGTGTCTCACAGGCAGAGGCGAGGCTGGCGGCGAAGCGGGCGGCCCGAGCTGAGGCCAGGGACATCCGAATGAGGGAACTGGAACGACAGCAGAAAGAGGTATTTAAAGCCAACCGGAGCTGGTTTTCAGTTTCCGAGGAGCTTTTTAGCTTCAGCATCCCACAAGTATAAAAAAATAAATAAATATAAGTGCTGCATGTCCACAGATGAAACCAAAAGCTCTATTCCTGACGCAAATGTCAGGCAGATTTTCTTTTTCAGCACTTTTCATTGAGGTATGACTGTTTTTCCTGGCATCTCCTCCCTGTGTTCAGCTTTCCTACCATTCATCCAGCAGCAGCAGTAGCAGAAAATGGGGTCAGATCCACCAGTGGATGGTAGGCAAGCAGTGACTTCTGCTGCTTTCTTTGCCACTAACACTGTTGTGTGGGACTGAATCCCAGTCAAGCCTGACCATTTAAGCTCCACTTGACTCCCAGACTCCTCTGTACCTCACAGTGGAAAAAATGTATTTGCTTTGGAGACATTGTGAAGTGCAACTGTCTATTTGGAGTGAGGTTTTTGTGACTGGCTTTATAGGATGGTCCCTTCTGCTTCTAACTATAGATCTTTAGTTTTATAAAATAATTAAAAGCGTTTTAAAGATGTGCTTGCATGAGTTTTGCAAATATTTGATGAACTATAGCTGTTCTGTGTGCTCGAAGCTTTGAATATAACTCTCCGCTCTCTATCCTCTAAACGTTATCTTTGCCAACCTTCTTTCCTGATTCCAGGCTGAAACAGAAAAAGCCAGAGCCTCTGTTAGTAGTAGATCCAGCAACCATCATCATCGGGTCTGTATCCTGCCCCTATACTTCCTCTTTATCGCCTATTATTTCCGCCTTTCCTTCATCACTCTTTCTGTTGTCTCTCCCTTTCTGCTGGTCCGCCATGACTCTGTGTTTCCACATCAACAGGGGCTGGAGGACGATGTTTTATCAGTCCGCAGCTACAGGGTGTGTACGGATGAACGCTGATGTGTCAAAGTCTCTGTTGTTTATTTAAAAAACTACTGGGTGAATTTTGTTCCATTATTGTTGCAAGCAAAGAGAACGATTTGTTAACCGGAATGAAAAAAAAAACAAATTTTTGTAAATAGAAATTGGGGAAAAAACGCTGTTCAGAAAATACATTTTGAAAACATTTTTATTTGAAAAAAGCATTTGAGTTTCTCCTTGTGCATGCTCTGTTTAAAAGTTGCTGTTCTCATAGCTCATACAAGCTAACTGGGTCCAAATGTCCGCCCTAACCCCTAAATCTATATCGCTATATAGAGCGGGGATATTACACTGAAATCAGTTAACTGACCGTTCAGAAAGATGATCATTACTTTTTGCTCTGTTAGTAGGGCTGGGTAAAAAAATCGATTCCAATTTTTGCAAAATTGATGTCTAGGGAATGAGCTCGATTAGTACATGACATTCAAATGAGCAGGAAAGATGCACTCAAGATGACTTCAAGCCAGACTGCTGCAAATATAGCCAATAGGTTGACCAGCAAACACCCGTTAGTTGTCACAGGCAACGCTGCAAATATGGTTTGTTCAGTGGAGATAATGCAGCTCATGCATGTCTGAGTGAATGAGGCTTCACTTTTTCACTTTTCACAAACAAGTTTGCACTTTTGAGACAGATTTGTTCACATCTCAAGTTTAAGGTATCTGATTTACAAGTTTGCAATTTGTGTTTAATATGACTGGAAAAAATAAAATACATGACTATTTTGAAACACATTATTTTAAAAACAGATTGAATCGATTTAGAACTGTATTAATCAAAATATCCCTATCCGTTAGTCACACAACTCCTCCTCCACTGTGCGGTGCCTGCACCATCTTTGTTATTAGTCACTGCTGTTGGGTAGCGACAGCGGGCCACGGTGACAGCAAATCCCATAATGCTTTGCGAGCAGAGCTCTCCACACAAAGCAGTCTGGGATTTATCTGCCTCTTCTGAGGCCTTTCTTTTGTTCTCGTACACTTCATAGACACTTTCTCTGACGACACTCGGCCATTTTCAAAGAACCGCAGTGAGAAAGGTGAGCTTCAACCACTGTCTGAAACTGTAGCCCACCTCAGATATACGCCTAAACAGATCACATACTCTAATTCTGGAGGGGAACTTTGCTCTGCAGTGAGCAGAAAGAAATAACATTTGATAACAAGTAAATAACCGTTTTATACTGTATGAAAACACAGCAAATTTTATATTAAAACATTTTTATCAAAATGCTTTTTAAAGTTTAAGTTTTTTTGGATTGCATTTTCTTTCTTTCAATTTTTTATTTACAGATCAGGTTCTTTGCTGCAACTATAATGGACCCCCCCTCCATTTGTACTATTGTCTTCCTTTTTTTGTTTCTAAATGACATACTGTGCACATTTATTTTATTCAAAGTCAACGTCATCAGCCATACGTGACCTGGGCTCGAGTCGATCCAGTTCCCGTAGGAAGGACATCTTGGTGCGTGAAAGTGAAGCTCTGCATGAATGTGTTCCAACTAATGACAGTTTTCAGATCATAGTGTTAAGCAAGTGAGACCTACTTACTCCAAGTATACGCCAGGGAATGTTTTATTGTGCTCCTCACTTTGTTGTAACGTTTCTTTCTATTAAGTTTGAGTTTCAGAGGTCTGACAAACACTAAAACTGTGTGCTGCTAATGGTGTGCACTCTTTGCACTCGGGAACTTCATCCCTTTTTCCATTTGAATGCTTTACATGGAAAAAAAACATGGCTGCTATTGTTGGTTCTATAAAAACCACGAACCTGACTGGTTTGACCTGCGACTAGAACTGTGGTGTAATCTCCACCCTTTCCGAGGCAAATCGAACGCATCGTGGCTCCTTAACTGGATGTGGTGGTGATACTTTTGGATTGTTTCTCCAATACTTTCTTTGTATTAGGGATGGAACGGTTTATGAAAACCGTCCGAACCGTTCGGTTCGACTATCTCTGTTCGATTTGCGTGTGTTGAGTTTGGTTCATGCGCTGCTCCTTTTTCTCATAGGCGAAGCGTTTACACTCCAGAGCAGAAGGTGGCGGTACTGCGACCAAAATCNCCGCACATTTTGAGGGGAAAAAAAAGACGTTTATATGCGCCTTATAGTCGTGAAAATACGGTAACTGACAGTTCAGAAAGATGATCATTACTTTTTGCTCTGTTAGTAGGGCTGGGTAAAAAAATCGATTCCTTTACATTTTTGCAAAATTGATGTCTAGAGAATGAGATTGTTTAGTACATGACATTCAAATGAGCAGGGAAGATGCACTCAAGATGACTTAAAGCCAGATGATTCAGGGTTGACTGAAGACATCAACAAATGGGGGCTGACCAGCAAATACTGCAAATACGGTCTGTTCAGTGGAGATAATGCAGCTCATGCATGTCTGAGTGAATGAGGCTTCACTTTTTCACTTTTCACAAACAAGTTTGCACTTTTGAGACAGTTTTGTTCACATCTCCAGTTTAAGGTGTCTGATTTACAAGTTTGCACTTTGTGTTTAATATGACCGGAAAAAATAAAATACATGAGTATTTTGAAACACAGTTGAACCACATTATTGTAAAACAGATCGAATCAAAATTAATCGATTTTAGAACTTTATTAATCAAAATCGAATCGATTCAGGACTTTGGAGAAAATACCCAGCGCTATCCGTTAGTCATGTAACTCCTCCTCCACTGTGCGGCGCCATCTTTGTTATTAGTCGCTGCTGTCGGGTAGCGACAGTGGGCCACGGTGACAGCAAATCCCATAATGCTTTGCGAGCAGAGCTCTCCACACAAAGCAGTCTGGGATTTATCTGCCTTTTCTGGGGCCTTTCTTTTCTTCTCATACACTTCATAGACACGTTTTCTCTGACGACACTCGGCCATTTTCAAAGAACTGCGGTAAGAAAGGGGAGCTCACTGGAAAAACAATCTAGAAAGAAGTAATTTCTTAGACCAAGTGTATTTAGCCTTAATTTGAATAGGTAAATGAAATAATTTGCCAATGGAATCAGTATTTCTACTATTAAAATAAGATAATTAGATATAATGCACTTGAAATAAGACAATGAAATTGTGTTTTCTTATTTTAAATGTAAATTGTCTTGTTCCATTGGCAAAATGTATCTTTTACCTCCTCAATCCAAGAACAAATGCACTTATTTTAGGAAAAATGACTCACCTAGATTTAGATTTTTTCCAGTACTTCAATGACTGTCTGAAAATGTAGCCCACCACAGATATACGCCTAAAAGTGCGCATGCACAGACAAAGATGGCTAAGGAGACGAACATAGGGCGGCTTTACGTAAACATATCACCAGAATGATTGAAGATTAGGAGGACCAATTATTTAGATGATCCACCCGGAAATAAAAGATTGTCCTCTGCAGCTTTAATAGAACTTTTTTTTTCTTATTTTCAGGTTGAGTTTTATAGTTTTATTAATTACAGTCTTTGTAGTTAGTTTTTTACAGATCACATCCTCTAATTCAGGAGGTGAACTTTGCTCTGCAGTGAGCAGAAAGAAATAACATTTGATAACAAGTAAATAACTGTTTTATAAGAAAAAACAGCAAAGTTTATATTAAAAGATTTTTTTTTTATCAAAACGCTTTTTTTGGATTGCATTTCCTTTCTTTCAATTTTTTATTTCCAGATCAGGTTCTTTGCTGCAACTATAATGGACCCCCCCTCCATTTGTACTATTGTCTTCCTTTTTTTGTTTCTAAATGACATACTGTGCACATTTATTTTATTCAAAGTCAACGTCATCAGCCATACGTGACCTGGGCTCGAGTCGATCCAGTTCCCGTAGGAAGGACATCTTGGTGCGTGAAAGTGAAGCTCTGCATGAATGTGTTCCAACTAATGACAGTTTTCAGATCATAGTGTTAAGCAAGTGAGACCTACTTACTCCAAGTATACGCCAGGGAATGTTTTATTGTGCTCCTCACTTTGTTGTAACGTTTCTTTCTATTAAGTTTGAGTTTCAGAGGTCTGACAAACACTAAAACTGTGTGCTGCTAATGGTGTGCACTCTTTGCACTCGGGAACTTCATCCCTTTTTCCATTTGAATGCTTTACATGGAAAAAAAACATGGCTGCTATTGTTGGTTCTATAAAAACCACGAACCTGACTGGTTTGACCTGCGACTAGAACTGTGGTGTAATCTCCACCCTTTCCGAGGCAAATCGAACGCATCGTGGCTCCTTAACTGGATGTGGTGGTGATACTTTTGGATTGTTTCTCCAATACTTTCTTTGTATTAGGGATGGAACGGTTTATGAAAACCGTCCGAACCGTTCGGTTCGACT